TTGTTGTGTACATTTTGCCACAATTGAAAAAACTAATTACACGAATAGCAGTTGAGTACAAGGAAGAAGAAAGAGTCCTAATATTGATTGTGGTGACGATTGTACAACTTCTTGATATGATTGAACTTCTGAATTGTATGAGATTGTGGATCAATGCCAATGAAACTGTTAGAAAGCAAACTGACAAAACAGTATATGAAAGAAAGAAACACAGAAAATATTAAAATAAAACGAAAACCAGATCAAGCACAAAGTGTATCATAAGGGAGATCAAGTGACAAGATTTTAACTCTTGATTTTTAATACCATAACTGTTCCCTAAGATCTCCTTCCTTTTATAAAATATTTATCCATTAGTTTTGCTATTTTGCATGTAATAGGCATATTAAAAATAATTAACTTAAAAAATGAGGCGCTGATACCAAGGGCTCAAGTAGAAAGAAAATATTTTTTAAATGATGATGGCAACATATGTATCAAATTGCTTGACACATGGATGTATGTATGGGTTGTGATAAAAGCTGTAAGAAGCCCCAATAAAATGATAAAAAAAAATTTTGTTTAAAGATTTTAACTCTTGAAGCCAGATTCATCATTTTACTCTACTGTAGTCATCTCAGCTAGACTCTCTGTCTGATAACCAGATTATTCCCATCCTTCAATGACAGAGGGAAATTGCAGAAGGCTTATTCTCTATGTAGATCCTGTGAATGTATTTTGGGCTTCTACTCTCATTCATAGCCTTCTGCACATAAGAATCTCATGATCTAAGCTCTGATAATATTCCTTGCTTCGGATTTGGATTACGTATATAACTTATAATCCTTGGATCATGGATGTTGGCATGTTTCCTCCTTGTTAGCTTTGTTGGGGTCTCATTTAGATGGCTACTTTTTTTGAAAACAAGTTTTTAAAACCCAGATGCTATGTTTCTGATAGCTGAGCATGATCTAATCTCTTCACCATACTTTGCTATAACACGTATATCGTCTGGGCCATTAGGGCAAGTATTGGGCATGGCTATTATCCCATCTATATTTAAGAACAGAAATTGAAATTCTCTCTTTGACTGTGAATGGGCTATGATTGCTCTTCAATTTGTCCTCCCTGGCACAGTCGGTGATATGATTGTCCTGTTCGAAATGGCCAACCAGTCCATTTCCAGCTTAATGCCTACAGAACAGTGTGAGGCTGTGACTTTCAAACTATGTGTTGGAATCTGCATTAAATAGCATGGGAAGTTTGGGGAGGGCTGCTCTGGACAAAAGACTGTACCCTTAATGTATTTTGCTTCTGAATAATGGCTACCTCTTAAATTCCCTAGTAAACGCTCATAATCTTGATTATTGGCTATGTGTTCTATGTGGTCATTGCAATGGGTTATTGATCCCAGTAGCTTAGCAGAGTGCCGCGGGAGGAATGGATGGTGTACAAATACAGTAAAGGAAGAACGGAGGTTGGAGGCATATAGGACCTGTGTCTAATCATGACTGACTTGGGCTGGTGTGGAGGTGGGTTCTCCTTCTACCCACTGGAGTTGGAAAAGGTCAGAAGTGGCCCCCACACCATCTTCACCCTCCAACCCCTGCCCCTTTCAAAGTTGGTTGCAGACTTCAGAACACGTTCCCTAAGCAATTCAGTCTACTTATCATTAAGTACAGTTCACTATCTGTTGATTGTCTGGGTATAATATTGTTGCTGCTTTTAAATTTCAAGCCATACTTAGACTCACCCATTTCCAAGATAGTGTGCAAAACAACCGGGGAGAGGGTGCAGGAGGACAAATTCTCTCCTCTCCTATGTTAAGGAGACTGGGAAGCCAGGGCTCCCAAGTAGGGAGACCTTACATTTGTAGGTTGTAGATGTGCTCCAGTCACGCTCTCATAAGTAAAATGTGCTCCCCAAGATGTGTGAGGACATAATGCCAATTTTAAGTTGCTGCTTGCAAGCACATGGTTGCTGCTATATGTACTTGAAGGCTAACTGCTTGAAGGCTCTTTGCCTGGTGGGTACTGATCATCAAAAGGAGTCAGACCATCTAACCCTAAGAGTCCCACTCCCTTCTGATAAGGATCATAGATTTCTCCCCTGCAGAAGAGCTCTGTTGCAGGTAAGGTCAGAGACAAGCACGGTTAGGCTGCTATTTTAACTCTCTAACCCACCCATCTTGTTAAATATGTGCCTTCCTGTCACATGGATGCCTCTAGTACCTACACTTCCAATTGTTTGTATACCCCTAACTTGTCCCCCTTGTTGTGAGTACATCTCTAATACAACCCCTTGCTGTTACATATATCCTTACCATGGCTTACACACTGGAGATTAGATAAGCTCTTGAGGGAAGATATGACTGCCTCATTCTGGTTCAGGTCTCCTTGGAAGAGGGGAGCCCTGGCGGGCGGTGTCTTGTCTGACTCATCTTTCGTATACTTTCCTTTTGGACCCATTGGATTGTGGAGGCTGGTCCCCACAAATAGCACTCTCAACCGGGACTAGGTGACGTTCTTCCTAAAGGAGAAATTAACCCATAAAATAGATTGTGTAACCCCATCGGATGGTGGAGTGAAGCACGGAAATAGTTTTGAAGTGGGAATTGGGTTGGGTGATTAGCAGACAAACACATAAATAATGTTAATAATTCTAAATAATATATTCAACTGGACAATGAGGGCAAGGTGAAAGGAAGTCTAAAACGTCCTCTATCACTCTCACCCACTTCCTAGAAAAACAGGGTGTTACAGTAACAAAGGAAAAGATGCAGTTTTCTATAAGTAGTTATTAAAAAGTATAACCCATGGTTCCCTGAGGGTGGGACTTCTGATCTAGAGATCTGGGAGAAGGTCCCTGTCAACTTAAAGAATGTACAAAGAGAAGGATATTTTATCCTGATGGAATCGTGGGCTTTGTGGGAACAGGGTAAGATGATCGTGGAACCCCTACGCCAGAGCAGGAGAGGAAAGAGGAGCATCAGTAGAAGGAACGTCAGAAAGAAGCTATCCACCCTTACAGAAGAATGGCAAGGCCATCCAGCATGAGTAGGATGTCATTGAAAAGATTTTAGGGGAAAAAATGAAGAAACTAAGTCAGATTCAAAAGAAAGCCTCTTTGTAAATGCCCTTGCCCCACCACAGAAATGCAGGGAGGAGAGACCCAATAGCCATGAAACAACAGAAGGCGATAAGGGCAAGGGGAATACGAAGCAGAGCTAAGCGCCTTTACTTTCAGGATGGAAAGAGGGATTGGAGAGGAAGGACACGTGGAGACCAGACTAGCCTTCCCTGGTCCTGTCATTGAAAGACAGCCCAATGCAGACAGCCCACAAGGATATCAGGAACGCATTATGGTGCCTTCCCCTTTAAGCTGCTGAAAGACATCAAGAAGGAAATCGAACGCTATGGCTCAGACTCCACTTTCGTGATTCGCATGATTCCATTTCTAGCTGAAGCCGAGCGCTTGATAGCCGCAGGCTTGAGCAACTTAACTAAGGCTTGCTTTTCTCCACCAGAGGACAGACACTACCGAATCTGGTGGTCTGAAACTGAAGCACAGGCTCACCACAACACAGAGCAGGGTGAGCCCACAGGGGTAGATGAGTTCATGGCGAGTGGGAATTTTATTACAGTGGAGGCGTACTTGCAGATTACTGAACAAGTATCCTCACAAGTACATGATGTTTGTCTTCAGGCCTGAGAAAAGAGAATGCCTTGGGTAAGAAACGGCCAAGCTCCACGACTAACGACCATCATAATAATGAGCCATATGTAGATTTTGCGTGCCATTTACAGGAGGCACTTCATAAGAAAGTCAACAGTGCCTAAGTAACAGTTAGTCTAATACAGACTCTAGCTGATGATAATGCTAACCTTGACTGTCGGTCAGCTATCTGCTCATATAAAGAACAGGGCACGCTTTTAGACATTCTTAAGATTTGCAGAAAACACGGGTCTGAGACACATAAAGTAGACCTCGTAGCAACCATAATGGCCAACTACATCATTCTCAAAACATGTCCTCTCCGCTTAAACCCCCGGCGATTTCCGTCTTCTTTCAGCGCTCCTCGCGTGGGTCAATATTTCTGCCCACAGAGTCTTTCAATAATGCTGCTTGAGGTTTGCAATGTTTCTTTAGTTCTTTCCATTTAAGATAGGCTGAGCAGGCTTTCTTTTTGGTTTTTCTGTCTTTTCACATTTCCTTATATAATTCCACTTAGTCTTCTCCAGCTGCCCTTTGAAATGTTCCCCTCAGCTCTTCAACTTTATAATTTCTCCCATTTGTCTTAGCTACTCGACAATTGGGTTCATCTGGGTAGACTAGAGAAACAAATCCAGGGTCCTTCATAGATATGTGAGAGGGCTTGATATCAAAGAGTAATTGTATATTAAGAAAATATTCAATCCCAGTCCAGATCAAGTCCATAAGTCCGATATTAGCCCATGGGTCATACCAGCCTACAAATTTCTCTTCAGAGTCATGCAACACATGCGATGATGCCTAATGCAGAAAGATCACAGGCCAGTGGGTGGAAAGTCTTGTGGATCCAGTGGTGATGGAAACACCTCAACGTTGGCACAGGTCTCCAGGTGGCTCCTCCAGCGTTCTGAGTGTAGCTCTTCCACAAGGAAGTGAAGCAGAGAGAGGGGAGATTCCCAGAATCCTCATGAGAAGGCCAGGCCCATAAGGAGGCTATATCGGGCTGTGACCCGATTGACAGACTAGACTCCACCCCATTCACTCTTAATACCCTCAAGCTGATGCATGATTATGTAACTACCAGAGTAGCCACTAAGAAAGAGTGACCCAACAGGATGTCCAAATTATAGAACGGTATCATGCATATCACATGCAAGTAAACTTTTGCTGAAGATCATCCAATAACTGCATCAGCAGTACGTTGACCAGAGCTTGCAGAGGCTCAGGCCCGATTCAGAAGAGGACTTGGCACAAGGAATATCATTGCTGATGTCAGATGGGTCATGACGGAAAGCCTAGAATATCAGAAAGATGTTTGACAGTATTTTATTGACTACGCCAAGGCATACAACTCTGCTGAACCTAGCAAATGGTTAGCCTTGAAAAAGAATGGGAATTCCAAAAACACTTCATTGTGCTCATGCAGAATGTGTACAATTTTGACTGAAGATGTCAGTAGAATTCTTCAATGTCTTCATCACTCTCCTCCACTCCACTCTGTTCCACTCCATGAGGTTTTCATGACTTTGATCTTTAGATGAAGTCTGCCACCATTTTCTTGCCAGACGCCTCAGAACTGGCCCCCTCTCAGGTGGGTTCTAACAGCCCACCTTCCGAGTAATAGCTCAGCTCTTAACCTTTTACACCACCCAGGGGCCCTCCCTTCAAACCGGGCCATAGAGTGGACTCCATTGAGAGGGCCCATTGGAAAGTGTAGAGCTGTACCTTTGGCGATCGCCAAGGCTGTACATCCTTAAGGGCATTGACAGCCTCGTCGTTCTCTGGGGTGGGCGGTGGTGTATGGTGGGTTACAACTGCTGCTCCGGTGGTTCCCAGCCCAACACAATCCACTGTGTCACCTGGGCTCCTGGGACCATCTAAGCAAGTTCAATCCAATTCATAACCACCTAAGAGAAGAGAGGGAGGGTGGGAGTGAGAGTAGAAGATGGAAAAAAAACGCCCCCACATTATCGGCGTTTTGGAGAAATCTTATTGCCGATTTGATTTGATGAGATAGGCTGTACAACTACAAAGAATATATTTTTATTTAAAAACCAGAGTAATAAATACATTTTTGTTCTTAAGAAAAAAAAAAGGAGTGAATGCTCACAGGCTTAAAGCCTCCCCCGTCCTTACCTCTCAGGTCTAATTATTGGTCTGCGTGGCTGTGAAAGGGGGAGAAGTAAGCTGGAGCGGACCTGTGTTCTTTTTTTACAGTTGTATTGGCAGAGAATCCACATATCATATGATTCAATAGCTCAATCATATCAAGAAGAATTGTACAATCATTACTACAATCAACCTTAGAACATTTTCTTTCTTTTCTTCATGGTCACGTCGCCTTTAAAATGAGTTGTGTGATCCCAATCAGTTCTAGTATTCGGGAATTCATTGTTTACTCCTGAAATCCCCTCCCTCTCCCCATTTCCCATCCCCACTCCCCACCCTAACCTCGCCTAGAAACCCTTGCTTCAGTTAATATGCCTCCACTCCTTCTGTGCGTCACAAACTGGGAAACCCAACAGAAACATTAGAAAGCAAAAATGAAATAAAGAGGTATGAATAAAATCATAATAATATCAAAATAATACTTACCTGGCAGAGGAGATACCATGATCACGAAGGTGGTTTTCCCAGGGCGAGGCTTATCCATTGCACTCCTGATGTGCTGACCCCTGCGATTTCCCCAAATGTGGGAAACTCGACTGCACCATTTGTGGTCGTGGGGGACTGCGTTCACGCTCTCCCCTATTTAAAAATAATAATAATATCAAAATAAAAATATAAAGAACAAGTTTTAAAAATCCCACCATCAATATTTAAAAAGCCAAGGAAGAAAATTTTGCCATGGAACCAGCAAGAGATACTTGCACCTAGAACAATTTCAGGGTGGGTCAAGAGGGAAGTCAACTGACTAAGTACCTAGGCCGGTCCAGCAGAAGCGAGATTACAGTGACCACTGTCCGACAGTAAGGCTGTTGGGGACCCTGGCTCGTGGCTGGAGGGGCTCTGCCAGCGGCTTCCTCTGACTAGATGCTCTGCAGATGGGTTTTGAACTTGGATTCTTTCGTGACATACACGTTCATGTCAAACAAATGGGAGGAATGCAGCATCAGTAATAACGCGAGATGAGCAGGTGACACGGGCTTGCCTGCTGAGAATTAGAGGACGTGGAACGCGAATGAGGGTGAGGATCGAAGACAGCAGTGTGCAGGTGAAGTCACGGGGGCAGTGGAAGCACCCGCCCCCAGCAGAGGGGGCAGAGAGGAGGCTTGCAGGAGCAGGTGGTCCTGAGAGGCAGGTGTGCTGCCTTCCAAAGGCTCCCTCTAGTGGGCGTGGCTGCTGGAGCCCAGGAGCTCCCGCCCCTCCCAGCCCCGCGCCAATCACAGCTCACCTGGTGCGCGTAGGCCCTGCCAATGCCATCCGTGGCTCCTGTCACCACTGTGGAGAGAAGGGAGCATGTGTCCCAGGGACACCAGCTTGGGTTGCTCCAACAGCAGAGGGCGGCTCAGCTCACCCCAGAGCTTTCCCTGCCAGCTCCCCATGCCCACCTGCCCCTCCTTGTTCCCGGCCTCCTCAGCTGTGAGAACGCCCAGTGCCCTGAGTGGGTCCCACATCGCAGGTGCTGTGGCCTTATTTCCCACACAGCTCTAAAACCCGAAAATCAAACGCTTGGGAGTCCTAGTGGCACATCGGATGATAATTTGGGCCCTTAACCTGAAGATGGGCACGTCAAACCCAGCAGTTGCTCTTCCAGGGGGAATGGTCAGCTTCCAGCCTGGGAAGCCCCACAGAAGCAGTGCTGTTCTGCCCATAGAGTGACTGTGAGGCAGGAGCGCCTCCTGCTGGGGAGTTTCCTTTGGACGGATTTGCTGTGGGGTCATTTCCATACAGACTCAGCAATCCCATGGGACACAGGAGAACTGCTCCCAAGGCTTTTCATGGCTGTGAACTTGTGTTACCGTTGCTCTCTGCAAGCCTTGGACTGCTAACCTCAAAGGCGGCAGTTCAAACTCACCAACATCTCTCCATGGGAGAGTGTAGGTTCCCGGCTCCTGTGAAGACTTCCAGTTTCAGAAACCCCATCTACCGCTGCTAGGAGACACAATCAACTCAGTACCAGTAGGTCTGGCTTGGAGACTGGAAATCTTTACAGAATAGGCTGGTGGCCACATGGGTTGTTAACAGCAAGGTCAGCAGTTCAAACCCACCAGCTTACTCGGGGGAAGAAAAATGAGGGCTGTAGAAGGGCTCCCCTAAGGATGTCCAGTCTCAGAAACCCTCAGGAGCCAGTCTACGCTGTCCTATAGGGTCATCACCCGGATGGCAGTGGGTGTGTGGGAGTCTGTACAGAAACAGACAGCCACAGCTTTGTTCCCCGGAAGAGCGAGTGGGTTAAAACCCACCTTTGTGGGCAGCACAACGCTTGATCCACCACAACACACCTGCTGCTCTCGCCTGTCCAGGTTCAGGTTAGGAGAGAGGGGTTGGTGCCTACGTGCAGAGGGCGGGCCAGGCTTCATTCCTCTTGTTTCATGGCACCTCCCTCCACCCTTGCCCCCATTCCAGTGTTCCTATTGACTCATCCCTATCTCCACGCTCCCAGTGCCAAACCCTCACCTACCTGCCCAGGCTCCCTGGGCCCGGATCCAGTGGTCCCCCGGACGAGCCCAGGGCAGTAGATAGATGTAGACCACGTGGCCCACTCTCCACGCTGCCCCCAGCAGAAGCCACGCAGCTGTGAGAGCGCCTGGTGCACTGAGTGGGTCCCACATCGCAGCTGCTGTGGCCACCAGAGCGGGAATCTAATGGAAAGTCTGTCCTACATGCCAGATTCCATCAGGGCAGTGAGTTCCAGAGGACTTAGTTTGCTATCAGCTCTAGGTAGCCCGCCTACATGAACGCCTTCTGCCTTCTGCAAGCCACGCCCTGCCCAGCTCCCATCCTGCTGTCACTAAACCCTGAGGGAGCTAAGCCACAGCACCAGGGCTCAGGGCAAGGTCCAGAGGGGTCACTCTTCAAGGCCCTCCTTATCGGGGTCACTGTACTCAACCTTGCTCCCCGAGTGGGCGGATTTGATAGGACCTATCACAGAAGGTTGGGAAAAGCAGTATTCCAGGAATTGGCAGAACATCTGGAATGTGGAACAGGCGCGTGCCACTCTAAAATCCCAATTATTAAACAGAAGGGGGGAGACAAAGGGCAATTCTGTACCTGACAAGCTTCATTTAGCTTTATTAACTCAAAAAAGTTTCTCTCCCCCAAAGCTTCTAACATTAGGGCGGATAAACACATGTCTATCCTTCAGGAGAAAGTGGATCCAGAGAAGACCTGGTAGAAAGTCAACAAAGGTGTCTGGGATCTGGGTTTGCTAGCCGCCTTGGGAGGGGCTCTCCGCCCTGTCTTCTCAGGTGAGGGATTGAGGGATAGAGTACGTGGATCCCCCTGGCAGCAAGTCCGGCCAGGCCTGGGGAGGAAGGACCAGGTGTCCGTGTGTCAGGGAGGAGGAGCAGGCGGCCCTGGTGCTGAAGTTCTGGAACCATGAAGGCGGCCTCGCGGATTCGTGAGAGCGGCAATGGTTGCCTTCCTGGTTCTCATCATCACGCCGACCAGTGCTGAGGTTGCCAGAGAGACACTGTGGGCGCTATCGTACCGGAGCCTTTGTAGACAAAGATGGTTGGACCGAGACAACCGGCTGCTCACTCACTGGAAGATCAGATGACGACAGACTTTCAATGTCATGTGTTGCTAAACATTGCAGGTTTTATGTAACCCCTTATTCATGCCATGTAACCTTACAGGATTGGGCTTTTAATGAGAAACCATTGGCAGGGATTTAAAGTGAACATCACATTAGATGTCAATCAGCTAAAAGGGAAATTTTCAATCAATGTCTTCCGCAGAGTTAAGGTTAGTGAAATATCCCATTAGATATCAGACAGCTCCAAACAGAGACTTTCAATATATTAGATTGTCAATCATCCCCTAGCTTTGGCACAATAATCATAGTAATTATATCTTTATGTGTATATAATATATAACAGAACAATGTGGCAAAGTGAAAGTAAACCTAAAATCATCCACTTACTAAAAAGCAGGGTGTAGCAGTAACGAGCAAAAAAATGGAAAGGTTTTTTTTTATTTTTACCAGTAGTAAAAAGGAATAATCCATGATTTCCTGAAGAAGGAGCTTTTGCAGAGGAAAGAGGGACAGAAGAGTAATGAAAAGTCTGATTTTGGAATGCCTACCAGCAGAGCGAGGGAGGAACGAGGAGCATCAGAGGAAAGGTCTGGAAGAAGCTCTCCGCGCTTACAGGAGCAGGCCAACGTCATCCAGAATCAGTACACAATCGCTGAAAAGGTTTTAGAAACAACTGGAGAAAGGAAGTCCGATCCTAAAGAAAGCCTCATGGTAAATGCCTGCGCCCAGCTAAGGAATGCAGGGAGAAGCCCAATGGCTATAAAACACCCGAAGGAGAGAAGGGCCAGGAGAAGGCTAAGCCTAGCAAAGCTCCTTCACGTTCAAGGATAGAAAGAGGAATAGCAGAGACCAGATTAGCTTGCCCTGTCCCTGGAATGGGAAGAACATCCAATGCGGACAACCCACAAGGATATCAGGAAGGCCAGTGTGGAGCCTTGCCCTTTCAGCTGCTAAAAGATGTCAAGCAGGCAGTTGAAAGGGATGGCTCACAGCCTCCTTCTGGGATGAACACGATTAAATTTCCAGCTGAAGCGGAGAGGTTCATCTCTGTGGACGGGAACGCTGTCACTAAGGCTAGCCTTTCTCCATCAGATTACTTACAATACTAAATCTGGCGGTCTGAATAAGCATAGCAGCCTCTTGGGGTCCCTCTTCTCAGTCCTTGTTACACCTCTTATTACACCTCTGCTCAGAAAACAGAAATACTCGCTCCCTTTCTACTATTGAAAGACGTAAAGCATCCTATCGATATAATCAGTGATTCCGTGTACGCAGTACAAGTGTGGCCTTTCATTGAAACAGCAAAGCTGAAGCCAGATTGGCACTCGGACATTGGTAAGTTGTTCATCACCCTACTAAGGTCCACCTCCATGCATTCTCCATTGGGCACACAGGGCACACACACATTTGCCAAAGCCAATTTCTATGGGAAATGCTACGGTCGCTGGGTGAACTCAAAAGGCATTCACTACTCTTACACTCTGAGAAGGCGCGCATCAGAGTCTGCACAGCGATGCTGCGAGCCTAAGACAGAGAGATCCTCGAACGTGGGCCCGAGCCTGACAAATTG